CGTCTCTCAGGCTTCATCCAGTAATATTTACAGTCTAATGATTTTTATTCAACTCTTTGGGTCAATATTAGCTTTAGTTGCTGGCTGGATGTTTTTTTATGTTTGAAGGACTCGTTTTTTTTGTTTTCATTTCTGTTAGGCTACGAAATATCTTTCTATTGATGAACAAGTATGTGAAGGAAACAGAACGCATGGCGGTCATAACAGAGAGGTCTGAAGTAAACACGTCTGTTTAATTTTCTGGTTAATGGTCGTGTTGTTTAGAGCAGTGGAAACAGGGAGGTGCTCCAATTACAGTAACAGTAGTGTATCTGGAAGAATCATTTAATCAGCATCCAAAACATGATGCTCACCCTCTCATCACACACACACACACACACACACACACACACACACACACACACACACACACGACTGATAAACTCATTGACATATTCGCAGGCTGAGTCACAAAGAACCAGGAGACACAGAGGAAGAAGTCGTGACGTTATTTCCTCACTAAATATTCTGGTAGGAATGACTTTGAACAACACACGCTACACTAAAAAAGGATTAACTATTTAATGAAAGAGGATGTTTGTTAGGAGAAATATAAAAACAGTGCACATGTAAACACAGGATTGTATTTGTGTTAATCATCCTCTGGATGTTTGTTGACAGGCGTTAGTCTCTTTGCTTAGAGACTGTTAAAGAGTATTGTACACACCCAGCATGTTGCAGTGACACACCCAGCGGCACTCAGTGTGTCCGTCAGACATGTTACAGTAATCACCCGTCTGCAGTCACTGACTGTCCTTCTCTAGGCTGGAATAACATCTGAGATCATATGAACCACCAACAACACTTGAGCTGTTAATGTTTAAGTGTTAGAAAGACAAGTAGGCATGTATGTTTGATTAAGCAGATACAAAATGTAAAGTGAAACTGATCCAGCAATCTAGATTTTGTTTTTGTTTGAAGAAATATCACACCATCCCTGTGAGGCGGAAATGCAGAGATTAATGATGTTTTTTACTGAGTCCTGACTAATGTTGAAATATGCTGAACTGTTCCTCCTACTGTGTCACAACCTGATAAAGAACTCAAAAAATAAAATCCTAAAAAAACACTAAAATGAACGGATGATGGGGAAATAATTAAACAAATAGATAAGAAATAGTGGCTGCAATTCAGTGGAGTTGGGGTAAAGAAAATATTCAAAAATGGAGTTAACTAAACTTTGAAATGGTGTTTTAAAGATAGAGTCTGCACATATGTACCCTGGCTGATGAAACAAACCTGCTAATGCTGCAAACCTGCGAGACGTTCAGGTGAAAGCAGCTTATACTCCTCTGCAGGGCTGGCCTGATGTGGTTACAGTAATCTGATCGGCCCAATTAGTGCTTGATTAGAGGCTGAGCAGACTGACGTGATGAAGTGATCAGACATGTTAGATTCAGACGGAAAGTTCAGAGTCTGCGCTGATAGGAACGCCTGAATATTCTTCAATGGAAACTGCAGTTTTCAACATTTTCTTCATGACATTCAACTTTTCTTTATTATTTATTTAGGATAAGAAGCTGCCGAGTGTCTCACTCCTGTTCCAGTTTCCCTAAAAGCGAGCAGATGTTCCTGCAGGAGAACATTGGGATGAGGACTATCTGAGCACCACAGACTTAAATATACTAAACTGCACTGGACAGAAAACTATTTATAACCTTCATGTGGGAGGTAAGATCAGAAAACCTAAGTATGGCTGAGAAAATCTAAAAAATGCGACAGGTAGTGCCTGTAAATGTATTTTTAGGTTTAATATAAACTCCAGATAGGTGGCCTGTTAATATTGGACACAGTGAGTTGGCATATTTTAACATTTAATCTCTGAGGAGGAAAGTATTTTATGGTGCAGGAATGTTATTTCAACATGTTTGACGTGTTGGGATTCCTCACATTCTTTGTGGGTGATAAGCACAAAAATGCATCATCGAGCTGTCCAGTAGGTTTCCTGATTCAGGCGTCCAATCTTTGAATAACACAGAAATAACTCTGGATGAAGATGACATTAACCCACGCAAAACATGCAGGAAAGGAGCCAAATCAGCTGTTGCCCCATCAGAGGGTAAGGTTTAAGGCATCTTGAGTAAAAGATGCCACTTTACAACCATCCACTTTTTAAAAAAAGGGGAATCTTGCAGTGAAGGTTGGGAGTTAGATCCCCAGCTCCTGCAGCCACTTGTGCAATGTGTCCTTGGGCAAGACACTTAACCCCAAGTTGCTCCCTCTGCTTCGTTGGCGGCGTATGAATGGGATTTGTTACTCTAATGGTCACTTTGCACAGCAGTGAGAAAGCACTTTGAGTAGTCAGAAGACTAGAAAAGCGCTATATAAGCTCAAGTCCATTTACCAAACTCCAACAAGTTGCCTTTTGTTTGACATTTTCTTCCAACCAATGTCTGCTTTTCAGACAGCGCTTGATAATGACTTTAAAGGCAAATAAAAAGCTTCACATGTTGACTTCACTTGAAGCTTTGTTACACTGTTAAATGCTGAAAAGTCCATTCTTTATTCGATGCACTTTTGGTTGTTTTTATACAACTACATAAACCAGGAGCCAGGAAATCCAGCCTTGTAAATATTTGACAAGCCCCGAGTTTCATAATGCCACCAAGATATCACATTTTTCCAGCTGTCTTTTCCATCACTGTTTATTGTTGATGATATTTTCACCTGAAACACTGATATCATCCCCTTGTTTTTCCTTCAGGAAGTTCCTGCGACTGCTCATTAATTGTTGCCGAGGGGGCCACGCTTTGAGAAAAACACGAGTTGGAATAACAGCTTTGAGATTTTTAAAGGAGCAAAACAAGGACTGGTGCATAAAGCAGATGTAATTCCATTACTTTTCGAGTGTATTTCCCGATTTTTTGCAGCAAACACAAGTTCTGCATTCCACATTGCCGCGTCGTTTTGTGCGTATGTCCGGGGAATTGAACTGACGTCAGATTTCTTCCGCTGATTCAGGTGCAGTCGGATTGCAGCGGCTCTTTAGTTTCCTAATCAGCTCATCTGCTCTCAGGTCATCCATCCCTCCTCTCATGTGCTCATCCATTTCCTTCCAGCAGCTTGAGATCTGACCGGCCATCGCTGACTCTGAGTATTTCCCTCTGCAGACTCAGCCAGCTGTGTGGTGAAGCGCCTTCAAAGTTGAAAATAAAAACGTTGTTGTGCTGTATACAGTATGTTTGCCATCTCTCTTGAAATAGGCCTTAGATGTGATGTGAATCCCACAAAGGCAGTGTAGTGATTTCAAGTAGGTTACTGCCAAGAGGTCAACATTACAAGGTCACTCATTGCACAGAGTTCTCAGGTCATTGTAATCTAAACATTTTAATTCTCAGAAGTTTTTACCGAACAGAATTTGGCTTTTTTCAGGAAGAATGTGCAACATTGTAAACATAAATATATCAGAGATCAAGTCTATCCTCTGTAAATGTCTCTCTGAGTCATGACTGTCTACAATGAGTGAGAAGCCTGAGTCCTGCTGGCTGTGTTGTTGGCGGGGAAAATCTTTGAAGCACTTTAAATATTTTATAAATGGACACCTCCTTAGATCCTTAGAGTCTCGTTATTATTTAATAAAAAACCTCTTTGCTGGAGGGTCTCAATCTTATATCTGTGCAGGACAGAGTTTGACCTCGAGGCTGCGACACAGAAAATACAGGGCAGGGAAGTAAACATTGAGCAAAATGGGTAAACATTTGGCAGCCAAAGTGGGATAAGTTTGGAGATATGTCGATTTTTGGGGCATATTTTTAGAGCCTTTGTGAAATGTTTTAAAATGAAACAGGAAGTTGGGAAGTTTATGCCCCTGGCGCCCACCCTGCTTCCCTCTCTGAGCCGACAGAGACGATGGAGATAAAACAGGAGTTTCAACAGTTTGGCTTCGGTCAGAGAAGGGCTAGAATAGCTCCCTTAGCACTTAACAGGGGTGGGACAAAACACCAATTCAGCAGGGAATTGTCTTCCTGACTCGTGTGATACAATAATCGAATCCCTGGTGCCAAATATTGATATTTGAATTCAAAATAATACAACGCTCTGAACAGATTTCTTGTGTGTGATATGAGAGTGTCACTACTTCATGACTCCTCGTGTTGCTGCTTATGACATGACTGAGGATAATGTGAGCAACGTTAACTGGACAAAGAAGAAGACAGCGGGATAAAGAAGAAGAAGAAGAAGAAGAAAGTGGGATAAAAGAAGAAGACAGTAGGTCAATATTAAGATCAACTTGAATCATGATAACACACTGATGATTCTAAAGGTCTTTAAGTTTGTATGCCCATTCTGATGGGATGTTAAAAGACAAACACTTCAATCTTATACCAGAAAAGAGACATTTTTCAATGGTAAAGGTTCTTATCAAACAATTAGTTTTAATACATTTTTCATACTTTTTGACCTTGTGGGTTCCGGGTTGGGTTTGTCCATATTCTTCTTCCTGCATCTTCCTCTTTCCCATTTTTTTAAGCCCAGCACAGTTTTGGCTGATGGCTGTTCATCATGAGTCTGGTTCTGCTCGAGGTTTCTGTCTCTTAAAAGGAAGTTTTTTCTTGCCACTGCAACTTTTCTAAATGTTGCTTTGTGCTCATGATGGATTAATGTTTTGTCTTTGTAATCTAGCAAATAGTAAGGTTTTTACCTGCTGTTTTTGTAAAGTGTCTTGAGATGACATTTGTTAGTTTTTGACTCATTAAGTTTGCTTAAAACTATATTTTGGTCTATTATAAATCGAATATGGTTTGTAACATCATGCTCGATGGCAAATACATATTTTTTTATGAAACATGCGTCTCTAAATTAAATTAATTAAATAAAAGGTTTGTTTAAGTCTGTAAATCTTTCACTTTGTATGTGTGTAATGATGACATGAACATTCAGTTTTTTGTATTTGTTATTTATTGACACATTATAATAACATTAGAACACATCATAATAATCTTTTAGAAACAGAACTGGTCAGAAAACACATCTCACATCAACATGCAGCAGTCGTCGTGATATAAAACACTGAGATAATTTAAATATTTACAGCCGCTTCGGTGCATTTATGACAGTAAACGTTCCTCTCTGTAGCCGCTCTGCTGTGCGTAGCCGCTGGGATCTACTGACTCCGACCTGTGAGCGCTCGGGCCCAGGTACTGCTCAAACTCACTGCGGTCCAGATCGTACAGCATGTCCATTTTAACCTGCTCCAGGTAAAACTCCAGAGATGGTCCAGATGGACACAGCAGACCCCCGTACATCCTGGAGTCCCCTTGATCCACATGTGAGACTGCTGAACTGGAGAAACCGTATTGCATGTACCCGTGCTGGCCGCCAAAGTATCCTTGGGGTTCTGCAGGGTACACAGGCGGGTACACTTCAGTTTTATTTTGGAAAGCGTCTGCTGTTGTTTGGTCTGGAAAAACTGGAGAGTTTGTGTAGCTGTTGAAGTTAGCGGGGACGTTAGGGAAAGCAGGAGAGCTGTGGTACTGCTGCTGGTTCTGCAGCAGGTAGGAGAGGTTGTAAGGCACTGAGAAGCCCGAGCTGCAGAGCGAAGGCAAAGCGGGAGAGGATTCTGCAACAGGGGGCTTATTGGAACTCTTCTTCAGCTGCTTCCTCCTGCGGGGCCGGTACTTGTAGTTCGGGTAGTCGATGGTGTGCTGAACCCTGAGACGTTCCGCCTCCTGCATGTAAGGACGCTTCTCAGCCAGAGACATGGCCTTCCAGGTTTTTCCTGCAAGAACACAGAGGGTTAAAGATCTGCAGAGTAGTTGTTTTAACAAAACTGACCACTGACTGCTAATAAAAAGTCAAATCTCAATCAACATTAGGGTGGCTATTACTGAAACTGAAACATTAAGTGGTACTATTGTTAATTTTTTTAAACCCTTTGAAACTGAGGTTATAGAGGCGACATTTTCTGCAGCAAAGAATTAAATATTTCCAACATTTTGGTGGGCGGAAAACTAAAGATCTCCTAGAAAATGTTAAACTTAAACTGTATCTGGTTACATTGATAGGATTTTCAGACTGTCAATCAAAGTCTTACCCAGTATTTTGCTCAGATCGGTGTTCTCCAAGTCTGGGTTCAGATGAGCCAGTCTCCTGCGCTCCTCTTTCGTCCAGATGATGAAGGCGTTTAGAGGCCTCCTGACTCTCTGCTGGCCTGAGGCGGACTTGGCCTCTGGACTCGGGCAGCTGGAGTCCGAGTTGACGGACTGCGGGCTGGAAGGCGCTGAACTCGGGTAGCGCACATCCGTCAGTTGCTCCCCGTCTGCGGAGCCGGAGTCCTCGCTGTCGAACATGGCGCTTCTTGCGGAAAACTGGAAAGCTTCGAGTTCTTGACTGTAACGCATGACTGATGGTGATGATGATGCTTTTGATCGGCTGCAAGCCGGTGTCATACTACCGGTGATGCCGGGTCACGGATATATGTAGGAGCTCCGCCAATAGGAGGCCGGGAGGAGTGGATTTAAGGTGTGAATTCCAGGTGTTGCCTCGGGTCAGTGATAGGCTCATCTGACACCCCAATCAACGACTTACGAAACTTCAGATGACAAGATGATTCATGAGTCTGTTATACTCTACAATTAATATATTAACCTATTTAACTTGAAAGACGAATCCAGGTTGAGCTTAATGTAACCACAAAGTATTCCGGTTTATCCTTTAGGAATAAAATAATCTGCAATTTATCCTCTTCCTCTAAAAGTTGAAATATTATGGCCTGTTTTTACTTTATAAACCTCAAGTTTCAGTCTCGATTCCCCCCATAAAAGACAAACTAGGAAAATCAAATTACAGCCTTGCCTTTAGAGATGGAATCTAATCAATAGGTCCTGAAAGGCAGGCTGGTATTGATAGGACAACATCAAAGTTTTCAGCAGGCAGGCCTGGTTGATAATTACATTGTGGCTCTCGACTCTTATCGGCCATTCTCTGTCTCTTTCAAAGTACATTTTACACGAGTGGAACAAACATGATCAAGGCGCGTTTATTACACGATTACTGCGCGCAAATATTTGCTCGACACAAAACAAAAACCTGACAAAGTGCACAAAGGCACGTGATGAGTTCACCTCTAAGACATCAAAAAAAAAAAAGGTACAGTGTCTGACTTTTACCAACTTGCATTACAAGATGAACATGCAATAAAACTGAAGGACTGACTTCTTCAAAAGTAAACACATGGATGAAGCTTCTGCGCGCAACTAAAGTGTATTGAAATCAATCAAAACTGCTGCAGAGATTCAGACTCACAGAAACCTGCACCGGCTGATGGGCTGCAGTTGTTGACTGCCAGCCTGTCATTTACCTGTTTTACACTTTAAGATTTCCAAATGTTCGTGTTAAAAATAATTAAAAATAGTTGTTCGAATAATTGTTCGAGTTAATATACAGGATTGCTGAGTAATTATAGGCATATCATTTTAAATTTAAGTTTTAGGAGAAACGATGGAATGAAGTTAAACATTTCAGAAAAAAAAATATAGCTCAAAAAACATTTATCACATTATCTATTTATTAAATTGGTTTATTGAGCTGATACTATAGGCTGGAAGTCTTGTGCCTACGAATAAAATAGCCTAAATTAAATCATTTCCACGCATGGTATAAATTAGTATTTATGTTATTTAGAAAAAAGGGTCAAAACCATAAAAATATAAAATTTAGCCAAAAATAGAGGAACTAAATAGTGAAGTGTTGTGTGGGTGTTGTGTATTCCCCATTAATGAAACTCTTTATAGGCGTGTGATCCCGCTTTAATATAATAGGTTGCCATTACAGGTGCCTGCTTCCTCTGTATAGTTTCAATGAATATCTGTCTTTGACACCGGCTGCCAACATTACTCAGACAATGGATGCCATTACTGTGACAGCGGCGAACTTACATCTGCAATACACGGACTCACTGAGGTGTATATTACCTGCACCTGCACCGCTTTGTCCCGCAGACGAGTTACTTAACGTGGCCGCTTTACATTGCAAATACTGTGTATTATGGTTTGGAGCAGAGAGGGTTAATACACAAGGTGAAGCAGTAGTTGCACATTTTCTGCTTTTGTTTTGACAGCTAGGCTTTAACTATAGTCTTGTTGTCTGTTTGTAAATGTATGCATGGTCTGGGTGGACCACCGTGGAACCCAAAAGTAGGCCACCCTCTCTGGGGTGCAGAAAGATTTCTAAGTCTAAGTAAGTCGAGCCATATTTTGTCATATTGAGATCAATATTGGATTTAGGTGTTGCTTTTGGGTTGTGTAAGGATGAACGTGCACGTGTGATCTTTTTATGGAACATTTTTATGTCTTCTGTTTGATTATGTTGCAGACCCAAATGATGAGTAGCTGCGACCATGTGCCTAATTGGGATCCTAATAAACAATGCATCAAAGAAAGACGAAGGAGAAGAAATTAAATCAGGCGCAGTTTATCACATTATCTAAAGGGACGTTTTGGACTTTGACCCTGGGGGGGAAAAAGAAGTAGGCCTAATGAAAGCCAAACGGAGCTTGATATCTTGATCAAAAAGACGGATCAATACGGTGTCATGTGCAAATTCAATAACATGTTTGATTAAGGTTCGTCCCAAAAAAAAAAAAAAAACTGAACTCCTCATCTCCTTTAATCAAACACAACTTAAACATCTCAGCTGATACCCCTACCCCTTACTGGAATGAGGCTTTGAGAGGGCGATAACAAGACAAGGTCAATATGCTTTTTTTTATTTTATTTTTTTTATAGATTTGAGTATTAGGTGAATTATTCAACACCAAAAAAAAAAAAAAACCCGTGGTTTTGTTAAATGTGTATGTAGTTATTTGGTGTATAGTTGTGTACGTGAAAGTGTGTGTTTGGGCAGAGAAGGTGTGTGTGTGCGTGTGATTTTTCACAGCTTGTCAGATTTAGAGCTTGAATCCACATCCGCGTTGTTAAACGGGACGCACGCGCCAAAAAGCACTAATGGATTTAATCAATTAGCTTGAACGACGCAGCGTGAATACAATAACGTTAGTTTCGGCTGAGCTCCTCTGGGTTAAATATTAGACAATGTTTAAATAGCGAGGGTGGAGGCTAATATCTGGATTAGAGTGTTTTAAACCCTTTTTTTCTGTGCGTAAAATTACCATTAAGCCTATTTTGTGTTTATTTCATGTTTTTTAAAAAAAACGTGCAAGGCCACATGTCCTTTACTCAATCCCTTTTATTAATGATTCCCAATCTGGTGAGGTGACAGTGAGGGTATCACAGCATTGTCTCATAGCCAAACAAGCAGAATGCTGCAGCAGAATGGGCACTGTACTGTCTGAATAGGGATTGTTCTTGGGTTGCTTTGTGATCACAATGTGCCATTGTATTGGACAGAACTCATATATGGGACACTCCTCTGCTTCTTCTTCACTGTGGATCAGTGATGGGCAGACTTGCACAGGTAGAGGACCTGAGGGACTACCGTGAAGGATTTACAAACGGTCTCACTGACTCTATGAAAATGCAATTTGATTGGAATTTGTGGCAACAGGATGTTTTTTTGTTTCATCCGAGTGCATGTTTTTAAGGTGTGGACTTGTGGATTTTTCTCTCTCCATGAAGATGCATCAACATCAGCTGAACACGTCTTTTCTTCTGGATATTTTGAGAGCTGGATTGGCAGGCGTTTATCCCCCCTCCCCACAAAAAGAACTTGAAGAAAAACCCCACAGGAGTGTAAAGCAAAAAGGCCTCCAATAATGAAGCTCTGTATTCCAGGCCTATAAAGCGCCATCCCATAGACTTTCCTTACAGAGCTCCATTCATATAGGCCTGTATTGTTCCGTCGCTGGAAGGTGTGAAGGTTGGATATAAAGCTGTTGTGTCAGGTGATCTTGGCGGCGAGGGTCTGTGTTGCATTGTGTTGGATTGTATGGGCACAGCAGGTCAGCATCAAGATACACTGTCAACACTCAGACACCATTCTATGCAGTGGTCTGTGCCCCCCTCCCCCCTACACCTCCACCTTTTTGTTTGAGCAGATTCCACAGTAGACCGAGACCCCCGGTGTGCTGGATGGGTGCTAGCCTCCACACTCCCAGTGTAAACAGCGCCCTGCCCGGCCGGCCCTACAGTACGTCAGGCCAGCTGAGAGGATTACATGCCCCCTGGTGTAGACAGGCTTAATGCGGCCTCATTAGCAGAACACAATGATGCCTCCACCTCTGAGCACAGATAAAAGGCCGGGCTCAGCCAGACTTCAAACATGGCTTAAATCTTAGAACCCGGGTGGTGCAATAAGGGATTTTTAAATGCTGCAAAATCCACGTCACATCATTTCAGAGCTGAAAGTAAAACTGATCGAACAGTTCTGACACCTGATTAAGTATTTATGACATTTATCAGGTAAAAAAAAGCCAAACATTCACCGTGTCCAGCGTCTAATAATTAACAGTCTGCTACTGAAGTCTCTTTTATAACACCAAACATTTAATTATCAGTTTGTTTCACTCCCATAGTTGAAGACATTGTTTGGCTTTGACCTCACCTTTGACCGCTTAATCATTCCTTACGGCAAAAACAGATCAAACCAAATCAATAAACTAAGAATTAGGACAAACAAAAAGCAAGAAAATCGTACAAATTCAAACTAAACTTCTTCATAAATTGAATTTTTTTAAGACTCAAGTTTCTTAGTTTAAATGAGTTAGAGTTCGAGTTAGACGTTTGACAATTAAAATGTCCTCAGCAGGTTACAAACTTGCACAAATTAATCAACTGATATTCAAAGTTGACCGATTATTGTAAGTAATGACTGTCACCGACACCTTAAACTCACACTCTGACTAATAAAGTGCACTTCCGTCTGATATATAGAGCAAAAATCTAACAAACTCTGACTTAACTCAATCATGTAATAATTGAATTTTCTTCCCCTTTAAGTGAAGTAACTCTGCGTCTATCATGCAGACTTGCAGTGAGTGAGACCGGCTAATGAGGCACAGATCCACTCATGCTGAAACACGGCACTATTCTTTGTAAATTAGGAATTGTATTCCACTGATAAGAGTGGTATGCAACGACCCGAGGAGGTCTTCCCACTCTTCTAATAAGTTGTTATGTTTTTAACCACAGTAGGCTTTTTATTACATCCATTTTCCCTCTTCCGTGTGCATGATGTGTGTTGGATCCACACGTCTGTTGTCAGCAGACAGAGGGAGAGAGGCCTGCTGTAATTAGCCCTCATTATTAACTGGAACTAGACTGAAACCTGTGAGACACCGTGATATCTGTGTCTGTCTGAAACGGCTCATTCAAGGGGCGGCAGATAACCAAAACAATCCCGAGCCTGCAGCTCCAGCAGCACTGCTTGGATGTTTAATTAAATAGTGTGAACTGGTTAGACTCAGACATTAGATTATTTGGAGCAGAAACCTGCTTTTCCCCCCTCAAAAAACAGACAAGCAAATCTTTTTAAGTCTAA